TATCAGGAATCTAATGAAGAATAAAACGTGTTCTAAATCCCACAAGCTATCCAGAAGCTCCTGTGTTCCTTAAACTTCATTCTGCTTAGAATTATTGGGGTTTATTTCTTTTGATGTTCCCAAGCAGAAGCCATGGGAATGAACTGTGCCATTTCCCCAATTCTCACACATGACAAGTTAAAAAGTTCTAAAACACTTTCAAAATGACAGAGTCCGGACTTCTGAAAATCCACTCTTACAAAATAGCACCAAGACCTGGAGAATTTCCTTAAAATCGACTTTTTTTTCAAAACTCTAGAGATGAGCCAAAAGTGTCCAACAATCAGAGATGAATTTATCCAAGTAAAGCCACTGACTATCAGGAAGACTAGCAAGTTTTGCAGCGTTTTAGCATGTCCTATTCCTAGCTCCCTTAGCCAGCCCACAGCAACACTGAAAGCCAAAAGCCCTGTTGCTACAGTATCTGTGAAAAGTCAGCACCTGGCATCCACTGGAGGGAGCAGAAGGATTGTAGATCACTCTAAATAAACCTATCCCTAGAGACCTGTCAGTATATGACTGTCAGGCAACTCTCTAAAAAGAAAAGTGTCAGTCACAGCCCTTGTCTTCCTAGGCCAACAGCCCTTTTCCAAGGGCATTTTGGAAAGCATAAGCAACAGTTGTTTAATAGCTAAGCTGCCTGAGGCAGACCATAATAGTTGGGGAAAATAATAAGATAAACAACAAAAGCAATCTGATCCCAACAATGTATAAAAAGGATCACACATCTAACCAAATGGAATGTATCCCAGGATTGTGAAAGTAATTCAACATAAAATCAATCGATGTAATGTAATAGTGAAGGGAAGAGTAAAACCCATAAGATCATGTTGATTGACACAGAAAAAGCACTTGATAAAATCTGACAATCTTCCATGATCAAAACATGTGAGAAGTGTAACTAGAAGAGAACCAGATAAAAGCTAACTATGGAAAAATATAAAAATATAAAAGGTTTTTTGCCCTAAGATGTAAATTAAGACGAATTGGTTCACTCTCACTACTTCAATTCATCACTTTACTAGAGATAATCATGAGTTCAGTTAGGTAAGAACAAACCAGCATCCAGTTCAGAAAGGAAGAATTAAAACTCTACTCACAGATGACATAATCTTGTATAGAAAAATCTTAAGGAATAAACAACAAAAACTATTAGTTCTAATAAATGAGATGGGTATGCCTGAAACATGCCAAGTCAGTAAACAATAACTGTGGGGGAGACATTGTTTTGAACCGAGCTCAGAAACTAGCCTTCTACAGACCAGACCAAAACAAAATAGCCACTGACTATTTACACTGACTGTCACATACTCAAACCAACACTTCAAGGATGAGCATTTTGGAAAACAGGAGATTCAGTCTGCCTGAGTCCACATTATACAGACGTTCTCACTACTTTGATACCACAAAAGGTAACTAGAAGTAACTTGATGTTAGCAATTAGCTATTTTCTCTTTTTGTTTTGTTTTGTTTTCTCCCTCCTTTGTGTAACTCATTGTTCTGTTATTGTCTACTGGGAGCCTTTCATTTTATTTTGTAGAATACAGATTGTCCCAATTTATGCATCATGACTAAAATCTCATCAGTGCTTTAACTAAATTTGTTAAAATTTTATCTCTTGATAGTTTCTATGCAGTATCACTAAAAAATCCAAAATTATATTTGAAAGAAAATAGCATCAAAATTAATAAAGTACTAACCAGTAGAATTAAAGAATTAAGTGTAAGCCCTGTAAACTCAAAACTATAAGACATTATTGGAAGAAAATAACAACCAAATAAATGGAAAGATATTCCATACTGATTAACTTAAAATTTTAGTAAAGTTCAAAATTATACAACTAATAAATAGCAGAGCCAGGAGTTGAACCAATATAGTTTATAGAATACTATCATATTAAACTACTGTTATCTGTACTTTACACTCATCTCTGGGCTTTAATGACAGGATGGTCCCTTAACTGGCTAATACAATATGCTAACTGGAAACTGTTAACAGTATTTACATAGCTTCATATACTCCACTTCCTAAATATGTGAGTAAAACTTGAATGCTTCTCCCACAGCAGTCAGTGATATGGGCATTTCAATCAGTGTGGCAAGGTCTACAAGCAAGATGCTAAGAAATCCAGTTTTCTGTTTTTCAGACCCAAGGATTGTCAGAGAACACAGTCTTTGTGAGCTTAGCCCATAAAGTCAGCCAGACTAGGGTACCAGTTCTGGTTCTACCCTCTACCAACAAATGTACCTTGGTGTCATTGAAATCGTCTGTTATGGAAACATGCAAATATGCATGCCTGTGTGTACATACACATACTTATACTGCTATGTTTCTCCTTTGCCCTTAATACTAGTCTGGATTATTTTATGATGTCTCAAGTTAGATAATTTTATATGCTTTTAACCCTTTCCTACCCCTAGTCTCATCTCTTGTCATTTACAGCCCCATAGTACAAGCTGCAGCCACACCAAGACTGCTCCCAAGATGAACCATGTTCTTCTTCACTCTATCTATGCCTTTAGTTATGCCATCCTCTTTGCTTGTGTTGTTTACTGCCATCCCCTCTCTTCTCCTGCATCTAGCCATCATCTACACATCCTTTAATACTCCACTCAGGTATTTCCCCACCCAGGAAGCTCATTTGTGTTCCCTTTAATGCCTTGTTCACACCTTTTCCAGTTCCTGTACTGCACAGTTGTAAAATTGTCTTGGGGGCAGGGTCCTTCCTTGCACATCTATATTGTTGTCCATCAGAAAGTCCTTGGCTACTTGAGGATAGCCACCATCATGAATGACACCATAATTGTCAAGACCAGGAAATCCATGACCAACCATCTACCTCAGAAGAAGCAAATGGTTATCTATGCCCTTCACTCTGAGAAAGCAACAGCACTGAGGACAGAAATTTGACTACAGTTAGACAAAATACATAAGGCCATACCAGATGCCATTGCTACATTTGGATTCCGAACCCATTATGGTGACGGCAAGACAACTGGCTTTGGCTCGATTGATTCCTTTAATTGTGCAAGTAGAATATGCCCAAATGCAGACTTGTAAGACATGGTCTATTTAAGAAGATAAAACCTGAAAGGAACACAAGATCATATTGAAAAAGGTCGTGGGTGGGGTGCTTGCAAAGGCCAACATCAGAGCTAGCAAAAAGCAAGATGACGAAGGAGTCTGGGGTGATTTAATCTGCTATGATGAGGCACATTTCTAAGGAGAAGACTAGTAAACTGTAAAAAGACATCCCACTCTTTTCATGCATCTGTGTTCCTCACTAGACTAAAAACCCTCAGTGGGTTTTTTCCATTGCATCTGAAGCTCTAGCTTTACCTTTCAGCTTTCCTCTATCTTCTTGGACTTCTTTGGAATAGTCTATGATGCCTAGATAAGTAAAAGTGATCTATATGATTTCATATATGAATTTGTGGAAAGGATTTCTGAGTACATAATAGAAATTATGAACCTATTTGGGTGAAATGAGGTCAGAGGATAAAAATATTTTGGAAATGAGAAAGCATTTGGTATATTTTGTGTGTGTGAGTGTTTGCCTTTGTGTATGCATGTGTGCCTGGTGCCCATAGAGGTGAGAAGAGGACATTGGATCCCCTGGAACCGGAGTGTTACAAATGGTTGTGAGCCGCCATGTTAATGCTTGGAACTGAACCCAGGTCCTCAGCAAGAGTAACAAGTCCTCTGAACAGGTGTTTAACTGAGCCATCTCTTCAGTCATAGAGATTATTTTTCATAGTTTCATAGTTTTCATATACTTTAAACCTGAAACATATGCTGGCTTAAACACAATAGCATTTTCTCATACATGTAATGTTTCAATATACGTATTCTTGGTAAGCAGGATAGTTCTCTTCCTTATGGATATTGAGGGACATGGCTCACAAAAGACCCCAAAATGGAGTAAAGCCACAGAGGAACACATGAAAAACTTCTTAGGACAATCCTTCAACTGTTGCACATCATTTCCACTCCCATTCCATTAATGAGAACTTAGTCACATGGCCAGGGATGCTGAGAAATGGTCTACCCATGTGCTCAAGGAGAAGAATGATTCAATTGAGAATTTCTGGTCGTTGTAAATGTAATAGTAAAGTTGGGATAGTTTGCCTTAGGTGTTGGGTAAACGATGGAACAGATTTCTGTCCTTTCTAACTAGTATGCTACATGGTGTAGCTATGTTAATCTGTCCCCCGGGAAGCTTGAGTAGTCAAATGTAGGCAGTATTTCAAATCATGGTTGACAGCTGAGCTCCCCATTGAGTCACTTACCAGGAAGTAGCAGCTGGAGGGTGACTTGCATTGCTGATTATTCCTTAATTATTAATCACTGACACTTTGTAAATTGCCTTAAGTCAAATCCCAGCTGGGTTAGTACACAATATTACAGTGTTGGCCCCCAAATATTTTCCTGTGTTATTTGTCTAGGCTAGAAAGGGTATTAAATAGATAGCAAAGTAGCAACATGATTTACTGCAAACCAGCCAAGTGATACTCAAAACAAAGTGGGAAAAAGGCAAAATCAAAAAGAGGACTAATTTCCATTTCAAACCGTAGCCACAGGCACGGTTTATTCACTGGCAGGTTGTGTTTCCCCAAACCAACTGTACACTTGATGGTGACCGCATGTAGGCAAAGGGAATGAGTAGAAGCAAATCAGTCTGAAATGAAAATCCCCATGATTCTCAGCTGAGAGGCATGTATATTCTCAGGAAAATTTAGAAAGCTGGTGTCCGGGCTTTATCCCTCCATACCTTCAGGAGCCTGTCCATCAGGAATGTATCTAGGAACCTAGATTTTTCAATATGCTTTTAATGATTCTCAGCCTCCTGTGTTGATTAGTTATATAGTCTCTTGATGGAGAAGACTGTGAGTAGAATTATTATGCACATTGACTTTTTCCTGGACATCTTAGGTGCTTAATGTGTTCTTTTCTTTTCCCAGTTTGTCGCTCAGCCAAACTGCCAACAATTGCTTGCCACCTTGTGGTATGATGGCTTCCCTGGATGGCGGAGAAAACACTGGGTAGTCAAGCTTCTGACCTGCATGACCATTGGCTTCCTGTTTCCTATGCTGTCTATAGCCTATCTGATCTCACCCAGAAGCAACCTTGGGCTGTTCATCAAGAAGCCCTTTATCAAGTTCATCTGCCATACAGCTTCCTATCTGACCTTCCTCTTCATGCTTCTCCTGGCTTCTCAGCATATTGTCAGGACAGACCTCCATGTACAAGGACCTCCCCCAACTGTTGTGGAATGGATGATACTGCCTTGGGTTCTAGGTGTGTAAAACAGAACAACAATAATGACTGGGCCGTCTTCTAGTTCTCCTTTAAAAAAAATACTGGGACATGTACTCAGAGTAGCTAGCTCTGAACTAGGACCCCTCCAGTAGGCCTTTTGTTGAGAATAATCTAAGAAATGTGGTTCCTTCTATCCTATGTTTGGATCACGCAGTTATGCATGGGCCACTGTAAACCAGGCATGCGCTCAGGGTTTGCATCTGCTCACATAACATCTTCTAGGATGGAAGGAAAAATGGCTGTTAGTTAGTTTAGGGGAGAAAGCTTTGTGTCAATCCACATAGGCTTCTGGTAAACCAGACAGGGCAAGCACTGAGCATTCTCTTTAAAGCACCCTTTCCCATAACCAGGAGGTACATGGATTCTGCTGATTTCTTGTGTTTGTGTCTACTTCATATAATCCTAGCACCTGTCCAGGTTCCAGGTTCTATTTGGATACGGATCGCACAGTCAGCAGAAAAAACTGAGAAATTGACACTGGCTATAGTAAAGTTGATCTACCTGTGGTCTCTTGGCATAATTAGAGGTCACTGGACTCTCCAATACACGCCATCTTCTAAGTATCACTCAAATTATGAACCCAAAGCTACTATTATGAGCATTACTTGGGATTTTATCAGAGACATCTTAAGTGCTACCTTAGGTCTGGAAGTTAACAACATTCCCTAAGTGGTTTGCATGTAAAGTCTGGGAAGGGACGGCCTTAACCAAAGCCACATATTTTAACTGAAACATCTCTGTCATCAGGCAAAAATCCACAAAAGCCCAATATAATAAGAGGAAAATAGAGAAAATAGTATCCTAATTAAATATGGGCCACAATGCCTACTTACATTTGGCAATTTGCTCCCTGCTCAGCTTATTCACCTCAAAACCCATGAAGAGCTTTTCTCCTTAGCACTCTGTGGAAAGTAAGGACAATGGAATAATACTGATGAAGTCAATTTATCACACTCCAAAATGGGAAAAATGTAGAATACAGTGCCTAAAATTTCAGTAGCTAAAATAAAATTTAAGACAAAATTGCAATAGCATCCAATTAAGAAGGAGGACAAAGTGGACAATAAGTATTTTAAAAAGGATTCATCATCCTCAGCCATCAGGGAAATGAAAATTAAAACTACTTTGAAATTTTCTCTCATCCTAGTCATAATTGCTATCATCAAGAAAGTACATGATGCCATGTACTGGCAAGGGTGTGGGAAAAGAAGAAGCCTCATTGGCTACTGGTAAGAGAATTAAGCAGGCAATGTGGAAATCAGTGTGGTAGTTTCTCATAAAACTATCCTATTCCTGGCTCAGGTACCCAAAGGACCCACTATCCTGCCATAGAGACACTTGCACCTCTATGTTTATTGCGGCACTATTGACAATAACAAGGAAACGGAACCAGCTTAGAAGGCCATCAACCAATGAATGGATAAGAAAACAGGGTACATACACACAATGGAAGTTTATTCAGTTGTAAAGAATAATAAAATTGTAAAACATACAGGAAAATGGGTGGATCCATAAAATATTATATTGAGTGAGGCTACCTAGAGTAAGAAAGATAAATATCTCATATTCTCTTATATGCAGATCCTTATTTTTAATACTCAGATAAATATGAGTGTGAATATGGTCATAGAAATAGAAAGAGGAGAGAGATTGAGGAAGAAGAAATAGAACATGTCACATGAAAGCAGAAAGGAGACTACCAGGAGTAGAAGGACAAAGGAGGAAAAAGAGAGGTGGGTGAGAAGAGGGGTTAGAAACAACAGAAGCAAACTCTGCTTTATGTTTCAAAGTGCCATAATGAACCCTAATACTTTGTATGTAAATTTTGAAAAGTAGAAGTGAAGAGTGCCCAGAAAAATGAAAAGCATACTAGGTTTGACAGATTAAAAATTGGGTGGTCAGGTAGCCAAGAAGAGAGAGGTAAGTGATCTCCATCTCCTAGAATCTCTTTATTCATTTGGGGGACTCCTGTTGTAATGTTCAATGCTGCCTTGATATAGTAACAAACTTATTGCCTCCATTCTTCAGGTTTCATTTGGGGGGAGATAAAGGAAATGTGGGATGGTGGATTCACTGAATACATCCATGACTGGTGGAACTTAATGGATTTCGCAATGAACTCCCTCTACCTGGCAACTATTTCCTTGAAGATTGTGGCCTATGTCAAGGTAAAATGGAATGTGTAGCATATTTCTTCCTCAATTATTTTGGATGGGTTATGCCAATAAACTTTTGAACTAGGAGCAGGAAAAGTTTATGGGAAAAATGAATGAGTGTTCCATCGATGTTAGAAAATACTACCTACAGAGATCCTTTCAATAGTCTGTAAGTAGTGTCTACTTAAGCAAAGCCAGTGGAGAATGGAACATTTTTTCAGATGAATCCCTATGCTTCTCAGACCTACATGGTAGCGGTGTCTTCACCCTTCAGCTCTGAAACATCAATAATGTTCTTTTGAAGAAGATGGTGCTCTGATGCAGTACAGAGTAGGGACAGGAAATTCACTAAATTCATTACCTCCACTTTAGTAAAATCGGTTCTTGTATATTTGATTAATATTTTCCCATGCCATATCCATTGTCTATAGAACAAAACTGTTTCCTCTCTGGAGTAGTTCTTCTGGTATAGGTAGCATCGGCGCTCCATTACCTTCTGAGTCATTGTTTCACAAAGCCAAACATCACCACTTCCTTCACTGTTCTTCATATGACAAGCAGCAGAACTCCAGACGCTGAGTGGCACATAGGGCTACAGTATCCTCTGCTTTCTTCGTTATTTCTTCTGTCAGGATAGCCATTCAATCATTTAAAACCCAAAGTTTTCAGTATCACTCAACCTATGTCTCTCCATTAATTAAGAAAATGTATACACTGTGCACACCCCCATCACTTTGATCCTTTCCCCATGTGCAAACACCTTAAATTATCCTGGAAATCATTTTAAAATGTGCACAATTTCCAATGTTTTAATGAGATCTATAAGTGGGTAGAGTCTGGTTCACTCATCCACAGACATACAACCCATGTAAGATGACCTTCCCAGGCCAAATAAGACAAGTGTGAAGGAAAGTTCCAGGCACCTCTTCACAGGCCCCTGTGTTTGGGGGGTAATCACAGGTCTGAGTTCAGGTCTGGTACTTAATAATAGAATGTGTGGCTGTGCTCCTTATACTCAGAGTTGAGTTTTTCCCCCCACTAGGAAAGGCTGACAATTCATTTCCCAAGATGTCTAGTCAGTCATGCTTTTGGTACTAAATTTCACTTTGAGGACTTTTAGAATGGGAATATGGCTGTCCCCCAAGTCTCCAACAACTTAGTTTATTTTTATATCCCTAATATGCATATTGCATAAATTGCAAGACCTTGAGAGTTATATAGAGCATGAATATTGAATGCATTCATGAAACATTTTTGAAAGGAGCCCAAGAGTATGCCTTATGTGTGTGGTGATCATGTAACACAAACTTACAACTTTCTTAGAAGAAAAGCCTGGTGAAGAAAATGTCTGACTCTGGCTAAACTGCCTGGGTTAACTCCATGGCACTTGGGTACTCTGCTAACTAAGTAACACAGTTTTCCTTTAAAATGCATTGTATGCATGTATAAAATTAAGAAAAATATTATATTCTTTAAATCTCCTCTAGCAGTAGAGAAACTGTAACTTATCAGTCTTAAAATTACTGGGTTTTGTTTAGCCAGGAAAGTTTAGAATACATGATGAAAACGAGTATTTCTATCGGGGGTATTAAAATGTGTCTACAGATACTTAACATCAGTTAATCACATGATCTTCCCAATTTCACTGGTGAGGCTTCCAAAGTACTAAATATTTCTCCATCACAAAGTAGAATAAACCCACTCTGCTAAGATCATAAATTCTGCGTCTTACCACTCTAAGGAAACATAAATAAGACATGCAACATGCAGAATTTGTATTTTTTTTTTGAAACAGGTTTTTTTTCTGTGTAACAGTCCTAGCTGTCCCAGAACTCGCTTGGTGGACCAGGCCGGCCCTGAATCACAGTGATCTGCCTCTGCCTCCTGAGTGCTGGATTAAAGTCATGTGCCACCATGCCTGGCCAGAATTTGGATTTTTAAATCATATTTATGTGTTTGAGCATTTTTTTGCATATTCTTAGTGGTCATAAAGGCCAGAAGAGGTGGTCCCATTTCCTAAACTTGGAGTTACAGGCTGTTAGTAATGAGCCACAATGTGAGTGTTGGGAATTGAACACAAGTCCTCTACAAGAGCAGCAAATAGTCTTAACCACTGATCCATCTCTCCAGCCCCCAGAATTTGCATGTTTTAAATGAGAACTTGTAAGTGGGAAGAGTGTGGTCCTCTCATCCACAAAAATGCAACCAGTTAGACATTCCCTGAGCAGAATGAGACAACCATTAAGACTGAAGTCACCCCTGGTAGTGGTGGTGCATGCCTTTAATCCCAGCACTCGGGAGGTAGAGGCAGGCAGATGTGAGGGTGCTGTTGAACGTCTTCCTCAATGGCTCTCCACCTTGTTTTTTGAGACAGGGTGTCTCACTGAACCTGGAACTCACCATTTCAATTAGCAGGTTGGGCAGCAAGCCCCTGGGTTCTTCTTCCTATTTCCACCCTCCTTCCAAGCAATGGGGTTGTCCCACTGCACCTGACTTTTACATAGGCGCTAGGGATCTGAACTCTGGTTCTCTTGCTTTCACAGTAAGCGCTTTACCCACTAAACCATTTCCCCAGATCCAGATCTTTCTTTATTTATTGGAGTGAAAAAATTCATTAACAATACATACTTCGTTCCACAGGTTTTAAAACAACAAGAAACAGAAGACATTCATCAAAATAACCCAAAAGAACAACTATACTTATGATTGACCCTCAGTGTCCACAGACAAGCCTTCAAATGGAGAATAGTCAGCATTTCATCTTCTAGCATATCACTTAGGTCTATTCCTCCTACACTCTGATCCATACACAGACTGATTCTGGACTTTACTGAGCTGTGGGCATTTCTTCAACATTTACTTTCCTATAAATACAATCACCTCTTCATGTTCATACCATCATCAAGTCCCCATGTTAGACTATTCCTCTTCAGGTTTTACTTTGAAGTTAATAGAATGTAATCCACACCTCTTTGAAAAAAGTGAGGCCAAGTTTCAAACTACAATCCATTTCAAAGAATATTTTTAAAAAGTCATTTGCATTCCAGTATCAGTAATCTAGCTTCTGGACACATGGATTTGATCCTTACTCATACTTGTGACCTAGATCACGACCAGCCAATCCCTCTTCCTTTCAGAGCCTCAGTACAGCCTCTGATAAATAAGCAAATTAAACTTCATTAGTGGTTTTCAAGCTTTGTATTCCATGGAAACACATCATCAAGCAGAGACTTACCCAGAACTGCAGTATATAAACTACCCCAAAGGGCTAAGTTTGGTGTAAGGAATGAATCATCTAGTCTTCTTTGGACCCCACAATGGCTGTTAGATGCCTCCATTAAACCCTGAGGGTCTAAAAAATAGAGTTTAAAATTTACAAGATTAGATCATAGATTCTTAAGCTATGGTCTATGGACAAAATCTGGCTCACTGTCACACACATTTGTCTATGTACTGTCTTTGGCCACTTTAGTGCCACAAAGGAAGTGAGCGTTAAGAAGTTGTGACAGAGACCCACAGCTGACAAAAACTATGCACTCTCTGACACTTGACAGAAAAATGCTGTTGACATCTGTGCTAGATGTCATCTGAGCTAATTTCCCATCACCCACCTGCTAAGGTGCTGTTCTCCAGAGGTATAAGACACAAACTAGAGATGTCCCAGGAGAATTGTCTTTCATGCTTCTGAGTATTCTGCACATCCAGATCCACCATCCTGTGGGTAATAGGCTTTCCTGTGGTGGAGAGACAGAATAAAAGTGAAATAAATTAGACTCTACATATGTCATCTGATTATTTCTCATTTTAAAACATAGGTCCTGTTTGGTTGTCAGGAAAGAATCTCCATCTCTCACATAGATCTCAAAGTGTATAACAACCTTTGTAACATCTGTGTTGTGAGATCAACCCCCATGTGAGTGACATTTCATTGAAACGGTGCTAGACTTAATGTCGAGAGATCTGGAGTTCTGGCTCTACCACCAAATTTGCTGTGTGATCTTTAGCAAGTCACTCTGCCTCTCTGGATTTCAGTTCCTCCATTTGTGAGACCGGCATATGCAAGAACTGTTTTTGGTTTACTTTTTTCGTTGAAGGAAAATGTGGGAAATTTGGGAAATTTGGCTAAGATTACACAAAAATGATCAGCCACCAAAAATCTATGTGAAATAGAAGCATACATGTGGCACGGTCTCTCTGATTCCTCTGACAATGAAGAATATTGGCCACACATAAGTGATTTTAACACCATCAGTTTTATTGGTTGTTGGAAGTGAAGCACGCTAATTTGGACCCCAACACATTTTCTCAGGAAAGTCATCTACATTTAGTCCTCAGAAATTTGAGATATTTAAATGAGAGTATAACGTAATGGTGCTTCAGACTGAATTCCAGGCAAAACCTATTTCTGATCTTGGGAAGGTTAACAATTAATCCCTTATATTTCCATACCATCCTCCCTTATGGAGTACAGAGACTCTTGCACTTAAACACAGAGTCACAAACAATACAGCAGGTAGGAATGGCATTATCCTTCTTTTATTGTGAATGTAAAAGTTACAGGCAGTTTTAAGGGAAAGTTTCCAAACTGGAGTCCAAACCTCTCCATCTCACACTTTCCTATGAGGCTATTCCTCACATTCCAGAAGATAGAGGCCTTAAAGAGGCTGGAAATGGGCAACCAACCCTATAAATACTTGCTATTCCCTCTCCTTCAACTTCCTGGTTCTTCATTTGCACTGGAAGGCCTTTCTAACTTGTAAGGTTGTTAAAGAAACAGTAAAATACATCCATATGCCGCTGTGTGGAGAAGTACTAAATTTGCTACCTGGAAGGTTGACATGCCATTTGCAATGGTGTAGAATATATTACAAACTGCTAAAAATGCAGCAGAAAGCTCTGAAGAAAGGCTCCCTAAGGACTCTCTATCAGCCCTAAACTGTAGGCAGCAGAGCCTGGAGAGTGAACACTGAGGAGGTTGCTATCTAGTCCTGCAGTAACTACAAATTGACCATGTGTTTCAAACCAATGTGGGGGGATCATAGTTCTGAATTGAAATCTCATCAAGAAGTGGAAAAATTGGTCCCTACTAGCTTGAGCACCCCAATGGCTCCTTTTCAGCAACACTCAGCAACAATCTGGTAAACTCACAGCTAGAAATGTCTGTTGATAAACCCCAGGTGGCTGCTGCAGATGATGGCTCTGAAATTCCTTCTGCTATGTATATATGCTTGGTATATATTTGGATAAGAGTGGGAGGGAGACAGTTATTAGCACTGTGTACTGATTGAATGGGGCAAAAAGACAAACAAATAGTACCATGCACAGTGAATTTTATGTAAGCTGAGTATCGGGTGCATAATTTGTGTGTGGAAGGGTACAAAGGGGGAAATTTGGAAATGCTCACTGTACTTCTCATATTGTACACTTCTGTTGTTTTTTCTTTTTCTTTTTCAGTATAATGGTTCTCGTCCAAGGGAGGAATGGGAAATGTGGCACCCGACTCTGATTGCAGAGGCACTCTTCGCAATATCCAACATTTTAAGTTCCTTGCGTCTCATATCCTTGTTCACAGCCAACTCCCACTTAGGGCCTCTGCAGATCTCTTTGGGACGCATGCTGCTTGATATCCTCAAATTCCTCTTTATCTACTGCCTAGTACTGCTGGCTTTTGCCAATGGACTGAACCAGCTTTATTTTTACTATGAGACCAGAGCTATCGATGAACCTAACAACTGCAAGGGGATCCGGTGTGAAAAACAGAACAATGCCTTCTCCACGTAAGACTCACAGTTCTCTTTCTTTTACCTTCTTTCTGCCTTTCTTTTTGTTCTATTTTCCATGCACAGATTCGTCAGTATCTCTTGATGGGATAGCAAAGCTCTCTACAGATCTACCCAAAGGGTCTAGGGCTACAGGAAAGTTCTTCCTTCAACATAGAGTACTAGGAAAGTAGCATTAGAAGAGAAAAGGATTTACCAGGGATACAGAAACAGAGAGAGCTTTGCAGTGACTCTGTGAAAAAGGTAGTTCTCAGTACTTTTTATAGCATTCAAAAGAGTGGCAGCCACAAAGGATGTGAAAGCCTGTGACTATTCCTAGGAACTCATGACCACAAAATTAACTTGACTACTGTAAGTCAATCTCAAAGCAAGGAAGACAAAGATGTCTTTCTTAAAGATTTATTTATTTATTTTAAAGCATTTTTTTAACTTATTTATTTTTATGTGCAGTGGTGTTTTGTCTGAGTGAGATGTCAGGTCCCCTAGAACTGGAGTTACAAACTGTTGAGCCATCATGCAGATGCTGGGAATTGAACCCGGGTCCTCTGGAAGAGCAGTCAGTGCTCTTAACCTCTGAGCCATCTCTCCAGCCCAACAAAGGTGTCTTAATACATGGGTACACTAAGATAGAGTAGACAGGCTTGAGGCAAGATTACAGTCAGCTAGCCTACTAGACCAATTTTGGGATTGAGGTGGGGGATTGATTGGAAATGTCTCTGCTCCAATTTTGGGTGTGAAAAGAAGCCTATCTCTCTTTGTCCAGAGGTTCACAGCCTCTGGGTAGGTAATGCCTGTGCCTTTCCTTTCTACTGTGAAGACCTTCTTTGGAATTTTTTCCCTTCCTAAATGGCTTTAGAATGACAGTGGAAATAGAGAAGAGAAAAAAAGAAGCAGCTAGATATTGTGATATACTCAGGAGGCCGAGGCAGAAGGTTCATGAGCTTGAGAATAGGCTTGGCTACACAGTGAGCAAAAGCGAAAGGGAGGGAGGGGATGAGAGAGGAGGGAGGAAGG